TCTCTCTCTCTCTCTCTCTCTCTCTCTCTCTCTCTCTCTCTCTATCTATCTATCTATCTAATCTATGTTGTTGTTGTTGTTGTTAGTTGCGAAGTTGTGTCCGACCCATCGTGACCCCATGGACAATGTTCCTCCAGGCCTTCCTGTCCTCTCCCATCTCCCATAAGTATTTGAGTTTCATCTTCATAATGTGGTCTTCTAAACAGTAGTCAGGGTTGATCTCCTCTAAAACCTTTTTTTAGTTCACAGTTTAAAAAGGACATTGATAAAGTAGAGTATGCAAACTGGGAAAAAAACATATAAGTTGGAGGATTAGGTATTTTAGCCTGGAGAATAGATGGCTGCAGAGTCAAGAGAACTGCCTTTAAGTATCTGAAGGGCTGTCATGTAAGAAATGGGGCAGAATTATCCAGGAAACAAGACCAGAAACAGAAGGTTTAAACAAGGAGCCGATTTAATTGGGTGTAGGAAAATATCCCTAATGGTCAGAGTTGGTAGCTTTTTTTCCATGGAGCCCTGGAAGATCTTTGATCAGGAAAGTTTTATTAGTAGATTCTGCATTGTGCAAGAGGGGGTAGTTTAGATGATCTCCAAGTTCCCTTAAATTCTATGATTTCTGTAATGCAGAACATTCCCCTCCCCTTGCATTTATAAAAATCAGTTGACATTTCCATTTTGCCCTGAAGGAAAACTTCATCCTTCTGTGATGCTTGTTTTTTTTTTAAGATTAAGAAATAAGAAAATGTAAAAGAAAGATTTGGCAGAAATGAATAGACTTATGCTTACTATTAAAGACAAAAAAATCTGAATACTTTTTGACATGGGACTTATTTTATCAAAGGTTAGATAATAAAAACAGAAGTTAGAAATGATAAATGTTAAAATGTTAAAATGGATAAAATAGATAAGCTAAATATTATTGCTATTATAGTAGCAATCTTATTGAGATGAATGCTATTGTAAACATTTTGATTACGACTGCCCAAAAACAATCGTACCCAGACAACACACTGTTTGATTGAAATGGAATTTTTGTATGTTATACAAATAAAGTAAATAAAACATGAAAAAAGAGAGAGAAAGATTTGGAAAGTAAGACATCCTTAGATGCAAACTGGTCAGCTAACTAACTATCAGGAGACGTTCTTATGTTTATGAATAAGCTGGAAAACCCGAAGTCAAAGGGAAGAATTCTTTTGAGAAACCAGCCAAAGCAGCAAACTTTGGGACAGTGCTACTAATACAGATAGGAGAAGTGAGTGGTTGAATGTCTTCTCCCCTTTTTAAAAACACACACTAACAAATAGCGCTGCAATTAAGAGGCATTGAGAGACTGTATAGAAGGAACAAGATTTAGCCTGGGTTTTGTTTTTTTTTCTCCTGATATCTGGTCTACAGAATGTGCAAGCTTCAAATTGCTCTCTAGTTCCAAAATTCATTATGAAAATCATAAGTGGTTTGTTTATTTGCCACCCTTTGTTTTCGAGAACAGCAAGAGTTTTAACCTTTAAGGTCATTCGTACAGTCTCGAAAGGAAGTAACTTCAAGGTGAAGCAATTAAAAGCTTTTCCGATTTTTTTTGCTGGTTCTTACTCCCTTTTTCTTCTTCAAGAAATGCTCTCTATTCCATGTTGGAGGTTTGATCTTCGGCCAATAAGATTTGGGTGTGTATCAATGGGTCCCCTTGGAAGCTGGAAGAGGAAGAAACTAGAATTGGGAACCAGTATGTATTCTTGTTATTGGATTGGTATGTAGACCAACAGCATAATGAGAATAATGTCCTTGGCGGGGAGGGAAAGGGTTTAATAGCGGGTGAATTCAGAGAGAAATCCATCACCAGCAGGTATTTTCTCAACTGGGAAAGTTGAGAATTAACTAACATTTTTTTTAAAAAAAGGAAAAAGAAAGAGTGCAGAGAAGAGCAACAAAGATGATTTGGGGAATGGAGGCTAAAACATATGAAGAACGGTTGCAGGAACTGGGAATGAAAAGAAGGACTAGGGGAGACATGATAGCAGTGTTCCAATATCTCAGGGGTTGCCACAAAGAAGAGGGAGTCAAACTATTCTCCAAAGCACCTGAGGGCAGAACAAGAAGCAATGGGTGGAAACTAATCAAGGAGAGGAGCAATTTAAAACCAAGGAGAAATTTCCTGACAGTGAGAACAATTAACCAGTGGAACAACTTGCCTCCAGAAGTTGTGAAGGCTCCAACACTGGAAGTTTTAAAGGAGAGATTGGATAACTATTTGTCTGAAGTGGTGAAGGCTTTCCTGCCTAAGCAGGGGTTTGGACTGGAAGACCTCCATGGTCCCTTCCAACTTTGTTATTCCGGGTGGTGCAGTTGGGACTTGATCTGTTGATTTAGTTTCTGGACTATTTGGCCATATTATCCATCAAATGCTGACTGCGCCATTGACAAGTACATGGGGAGGGATGCACTGAGCAGGGTTTTTTTTTTTTTTTTAGGATTCAGAAGGGGCAATTTACTCGCTAGCTTGATTTCCCAGAAAACTGTGACATGATTGTACCACCCCATGTGGACATCCCTGCCCAAGAGTCACCTTGTGGCCTGCCACTTACCTGGTCCTTGTCTGAAGACATGTTGCTTGGCATGGGGCATGTTTCAGCTCCCCCGCACTGGTCGCTGACGTTCTCCAGCTGTGTGGGCAATGTCCTTGGTGACTTCCGGTCCGTTTCGCAGAAACTGATGAAGGGGAAAGAACACAATGACACCCATGAGTCATGAGATCAAATAAATAATTGGGCTCAAACCAGGGTTCTGAGGTTAACCATGCATTCTTGAGTCCTGGAGCAAGGAGTGTCCCAATCTCAGTGACTAGTTGCCTCTGCTTGTTCCAAGTAAAGGCAAGACTTTTCCCGTCTGTTTGAACACCAATTTCCTCACACAATCAGAAGTTCGAATCAGTCCAGGGCGACACAAAGGAACAAACGGAAACTCTACCTTCTGCCCAAAATAGAACTGAAGAGCGAAAAGGGGAAAAACAAACAAAAAGGCACCAGAAGATGGATAGTTATAAACTCAACTTGCACCGAATATGCGGCAATGGTTGGGATTCTTCTGTAACAGAGCCTCCAACTTTTTCTACAATACGTTTCTGATCAAAAGCCGTTTCATTCCCGGATTCTTGTGTGGGCTAGTTAATGAGTTTCAGTCCAGCTTGCCAAGGGGAAAGCTGACACCCTGGTGTCACACAGGTGCCGAGAGCCCAGTCACCAAGAAAAAAATAATAATAATCCATCAATGGAAACTTGTCTACTCGGTAAAAGCTAATAAGTCCTTTCGAATGCCTCGTGTTACTCTAATTGGAGCTTGTGGCATTCCTGCAAATAAATACAATGGCAGAGCTGCACCTTAGCTTGACAGCAGCCAGCTTCCTAGATTATTAAAAAATACGACAAAAACGTATTTTAAAATAAATCAGGATGAGAAGGACAAGGGGTCCGTGGCTGAATCCCCAACCACATGCTGTCTCCCTGTTCTACTAGAAGAATTCCATGCAAAACCACAGATATTTGGCCACCATCAAAGAGAATGCCTCTAACCTTCAGCCTGCTGGCCTTCCATATTTATGAGAGAGGTGCCGTACTGCAGAATGGCCACTGCAAACCAGTGGTGGGTTCTGGCCAATACGGCCGTACCGGTAGTAGCTGGGAGCAGCCGACAACGTACCGGTACGGTGGCTCGTTTGGCCCAACCGCCCACCCGCGTTCTATACTGGTTTTTAAAGCAACTGGCCAATTGTGCATCCCTGCGTGAGCTCCTGCAAGCAGCTGGGTGTCGCAGGGGTGGTGGATTGCATATGCATGCACAGCCATATGCACGAAAGGATGTGCAGCACCTGGTAGAGACGGGGAGAGGAACCACAACTGCTGCAATCCAAATGTTCAGGTAGTCCTCAACTTACAACGCCGATTTAATGACTGCTCAAAGTTACAACGGCACCTGAAAAAAAAGTAGCTTATGGCCGTTAGAGCACCTCCGTGGTCACAATTCAGAGGATTGGCAGCTGGCTCGTATTTACGACAGTTGCAGTGTCCCGGGGTCATGTGAGTCCCCTTTTGCGACCTTCCGACAAGCAAAGTTAACGGGGAAGCCCGATTCACTGAACGACCAGGTTACTAAGTATAGCACAGTCTTTAATGTCGTTGTACATCATGCATACAACGGAATTGGTTGTAACCAATTAGCAACTTAAATGATTAACAACTGGCATGATTCACTTAAGAACGGTGGCAAGAAAGATTGCAAAATGGAGCAGAATTCATTGAACAACCGCCTTGCTTAGCAACAGAAATTTAGGGGCTCAACTGTGGTTGTAAGATGAGGACTACCTATATTAATGAGAGAGCTGTCATACTGCGGAACTGCCACCACAAATCAAATATGCAAGCTTTATATTATTCCCCAACTATGTTTCGTTGACAGTTTTGGGGTTCACTCCTGTTAGGGGGCTGGTACATTGGAACATCAGATTTGTAGCCCAAATGAAGAGAAGGCAGAGAGTTCAAGAGTTTCTCTCCCTCCAAGCTTCTATTTTTTTAAAAGAAATTCCTTCTTTTTCTTTTTAATAAGTTTTTTTTTTTAAATATACTATTGGAAAAATGTCCTTCTGGGTTCAGCTCCAAGTGGGGAGAAAGACACTGGAAACCTGGAGGATGCTTGGAAAGATGGTTTAATGGTGGTGGGTAGGACCAGATGGTTTGAGATCCTGGGCAAAAAGGACACATGGGTGAGAGGGTGAGAGAGATTTATGCCCTCTGTTGGGCTTTGAATTTGAGCTTGTAAAAATGGGAAAAAATGCCCTCAGAGGGAGAGATAATTAAAAAAAAGTATCAGACTGTGCAGAAATGAACAGGTTAACGTTGGCAATTAAAGAGAAGGAAGAATCTGAGTATTATAAGACATGGGGATGCTTCTACCACTGGATAGAAAATGAATATAGACAAAAAGAAACAGAAAACTGAATAATTTTGGGAGGGGAAAAAAAACGTAGAATCCTAGGGGAGGAGCTGAATTAAAAGGTAATTGAAATGTAAAGGCAAAGGCAAGATAAAAAATAGATTAAAATGATGTAACTGTTAAATATGATGACATAAAGATTCTACCCAGATGACACATTGTAGGATTAATGACGTAAGAGAGGTGATGGAAGAAATAAAAAATAAAAACTTTAAAAAATAATAATTTGAGCTTGTATTCTGATTGGTTGTCAGACTCCCATGGGGCCATGCAGGAGCAACTCTGTAGCTGTCCTAAGTCCTAACTTTGGTTGACTCTTGCTGGGTGATGATGTAATGAAAGGGCTTTGGGAGTCCTATTATGGCTCTGCCTGAA